CACCTTGGAAGTGATGGCTGAGAGCTTGTTTGCCCAAGTGAGAAGCCTGCCTGGTGGTGTACTTGAAAACGTGATTAATGCCCTAGTCCATGATACCCACAGTTTAGGAAGAGAGCAGTGCTGGGGGACATCTGCTCCAGCGTTGGCATCCATAGGTGGAGTAGCTCTGCTTCCTGCTCTTGCTGTGCTTCTTGTCATCTTTCCTCTGGGTCTTACTCTTTCAGGCCCCTTTTTGGGGCTGGAGAGGGCATGGCTGTCTCAGGGGTTTGTTTCTGCCAAGAAGAAATGACTTTGTATTCCTAAAATCAATCTCACACATTACTCTGAACACTGAAGCTGATACGCTGACGTTTCTTTGAGTCATCACTGATTTCCTACCTCTTAAATGTTGCTGAACTGACTAATGCCCTTTTATTATTCCTCACTAGCTGTCAAGAAGAAGCAGAACTACACTAGTGTGCACGAGGCAGTGAAAGCTGGGGATGTGGAACAGCTTGCGTCAATGATAAGAAGTGGAGCTGGTATTAATGAGGTGGATTTAGTCCACAAATTCACACCTCTGCACTGTGCTGCACACTCTGGGAGCCTGGAGGTAAAACACGTCATTAGTGTTCAGACACTGCAAGTTACTGTTTTCCTTCTTTGGGAGAGGCTGGACACGAAGCTGCTAGCTTTGATCAAGCTGAATCAATAACCTCTGCCTGGTTTTCTCATGAAAGAAGAGAAATACAGCCTTTTAGGGTTTCTTTTTCCCTTTCTGAAGCCCCACGCAGTTTATGTAGTCAGCATTGCCAGATTTTACAAAATCAGTGATTTTCTTACTCTGAGCAAAATGTGCTTTATGGCCTCAGTTCCAGACTCATGACCTTCTTTTGCCCCTGTTGTGTTTTCCCCTTCTCTTGGGACACTGAGGAAGTCCTGTAGTGTGAGTAAAATGTTCTGAAGGCGATTGAAACAGCTGAGAAGGGACATGAAAGCATGTTCATTCTGTTTACCAATGTGCTTTATTCTCTATAGAAATACTCTTAGTACATTTTATTTTCATAAATGGAATGTTTGAATATTGATGGGGAAATCAGCAGGTGCTTGAATGAGTGGTTTGAACTTCCAGAAGGACTGAACCACTGTATTGAGCACAACATTCACCCTCTGGTTGCAGCCTCCTTGTACATTCTTTATAGGAATCTAACCTTGGAGCAACAGAAGAACCATATAAGCATCATGTCCCAGAGGAAAGAATCCGGAGTTCTTGCTAAACTCAAGGAATAAGTGCAGGGCTGTTGCTGGAATTTACAGAAACTGACAAGAAAATGCTGATCATCCTGTTGTCATCCCCCAAAATACATTGCTTACCCACCCTTTTCTGCCTCTATGAACTGTCATTTTTCATCTGATTCTCCTGCTTTGCAGGCAGTGTATTAGATTTTATTGAATTTTCTGTCATCTATTTGTTGCTAAGCTCCTTGGTGGAAACAGTGGAGGAACCAGAGCTGTAGGCTGACTTCAAAGAAGATAATAAATCATAATAATATGTAATAAAAAGCTTTAACTGGTCCTCTAGCTGGTTTTGGGTAGTCTGTTTGGATAGCTTTCTATTACAAGCAGTAATATCTGCTGGAAAAAGGTGAATAAAACAAAACTGGGCTGTGAAAGGATGACAAGAGAGCTGGAATTGTGTACACTGATTGAGCCTAATAAATTAAGTGAGGCTTTAAATTTGGCTCACGGTGTTTTTCCTGACAGTAATTTTAGCTGGAATGCACATGAGCATTGTTTATTTTCCAACACTTTTACCATGGGAATACTCTCACAGATTATCTTGTAAATCTGGAAGAGTAAAATTAAGAAGTAAAATCGATGCTAGGGGCTGAATTAGTAGCTTGTTTGCACATTTTGTACCCTTGGGTGAAAGCCAAGTGTAACTTGCCTCTGACTTCCTAATGCACAAGTGTCTGGCTAAGGCAAGCTCTGGGGTGTCATGTTTCCATAATGAATAGTGTGATACTGTTTTGAAATGTAACATCAACTGGTAATTATAGTTGAAATGTGTCTCAGATGCATGATAAGAATCATTAAGTAAAAACCTTTGGTTTGGGTTGAGCAGTGCCTTCACTGGTTGCTCTGGCACGGAGCCGATACAACACGTGTGACTGTGGGAGGCTGGACAGCAGCTCACCTTGCAGCTATCCGGGGTCAGGATGCTTGCATGCAGGTATGTGTAAATATTCACTCTCAAGTAAGTAGGGCAGAGCTGCCACTTGGACAAATTCATTATGAAGATCAGCTGAAAGAGCTCTAATAGAGCCACGAGTGTCCTGGGCTGCATCAGAAGGAGCATGACCAGCTATAGCAGCATGACCAGGTTGAGAGAGGTGATCCTGCCCCTTTGCTCTGCTCTCATGAGACCTCACTTGAAGTATTGTGTACAGTTCTGGTGTCCTCAACATAAGAAGGACATGGAGCTGTTGGAGCAAGTCCAGAGGAGGCCACGAGGATGAGCAGGGGCTGGAGCACCTCCCATATGAAGACAGGCTGAGAAATTTGGGGCTGTTCAGCCTGGAGAAGAGAAGCTGCGTGGAGACCTCAGAGCAGCTTCCAGTGTCTGAAGGGGCCTACAAGGATGCTGGAGAGGGACTCTTCATTGGGGAAGATAGGACAAGGGGTGATGGGTTCAAACTGAAACAGGGAAAGTTCAGGTTAGATATAAGGAAGAAGTTCTTTACTGTGAGGGTGGTGAGGCACTGGAACAGGCTGCCCAAGGAGGTTGTGAATGCTCCAACCCTGGCAGTGTTCAAGGCCAGGTTGAACAGAGCCTTGGGTGACATGGTCTAGTGTGAGATATCCCTGCCCATGGCACGGGTTGGAACTGGATGATCTTAAGGTCCTTTCCAACCCAAACAATTCTGTGCTTCTATGATCTTCCTGTCTTTACATCTGGAATTGAGTCACCCTTGTGAAAACCAGTGCACTCATTTGTACTGTCATTGCAAACAGATTTATTCTGTGCAGTGTCAGGGCCTTGAGGTCAGCCCAGAGTTATCCTGCTGATCATCTCAAGCCTAAACTTGTGCTCTGCATTTCCTTCAGGCTTTGTTAGTGAATGGAGCAAACGCAGAAGCTGAGGATGACCGTGGGTGCACACCCTCACACTTGGCTGCAGCCCATGGGCAGTCGTACACCCTGCAGACCATGCTGCGACATGGAGTGGTGAGAGACCTTTACCTGCAGTTCTCTAGCAGAGAGCTGGAGTCTGGTATCTTCTTCCAAACAAGGAGAGTAGATTATTTACTGTCAGTGAATTTCTTTTTAGGGTATATTTACACTTTTTTATTGTAAGGCACATTAGGAAAATTATCATCAAATCCCAGACTGGTTTGGGTTGGAAGGGACCTTAAAGCTCCTCCAGTTCCAACCCCTGCCACAGGCAGGGACACCTTCCACTAGAGCAGGTTGCTCCAAGCCCCTGTGTCCAACCTGGCCTTGAACAGTGTCAGGGATGGGGCAGCCACAGCTTCTCTGGGCACCCTCAGAGGGAAGAACTTCTGCCTAATATCCCATCTAGATCTAACCTCTTTCAGTTTAAAGCCATTCCCTCTTGTCCTGTCCCTGCATGATCTAAAAATCTAAAGAGAGTCAATAATGCGAGTAAACCACATTCCACTGAGGATGTCATTAAATGAAGATCAGTGCTGTGGTGGTTGTGATATTTTGCAGTTATACAAACCTATAGTATCCAGACCCATATTTAAGGAAGAAGGACCAGTGCAGTGATAGAAGCATGTCTGAAAATGCACCTTTTATAAGTGTCTTATTTAAATAAACCCAAGAACTTGTGAAAAGTGCTGCTCTTGGAACAGGAACTGCATTCACGACATGAACTTTGAAACCCACTATGTGACTGGGTTTACATAATTTAACACAATGAACAGCTCATGCCTATTTATAGACTCTGTCTTGTGACTAAGATTCATAAATTAACAAATGAACCTGGTGCTGCTTTCGTTTTAGGATGTGAATGTTTCAGACAGGAGTGACTGGAAGCCTGTTCATTATGCTGCTTTCCATGGCCGCTTGGGCTGTTTGCAGCTTCTCCTTCGATGGGGAGCGTGTGTTGATGCTGTGGATAACAATGGAAACCTTCCAGGTATAGCAGGAGAAATCACACAGGGTCTAAGCTTTGGTTTGCAGTTGTCTTACGTGGCAATTGTAGCACATTTAAAGTCATGCACGCCAGCAGCATTTGCTGTTTGATTCCATGCCATTACTCCGTTTTTATAAGGATGAGGAGGGGGATTTATTAGATCCCAAGTATGTATCTGTCAGTGACTATCCTGTTGAGCTCCTGCTGTGGCTGGCAAGGATCAGAGCTCCTGGTGCTGGAATGGGGAGCAGGCGGTGTGGGTGGGCAGCATTCCCGTGCCTGTGATGGAGCACGTGTGCCCATGGAGGTCACAGGAGGAGAGGGGTAGGTGGAGCAGGAGGCAGTTTCAGCTGCTCTATGCTCCTGCTTGAATTCGTGCCAGGCTTTAATGGCTGTGCAGAGTGATCACATGCTGGCGTGTTCAGGTGCAGGTTTTTGTTTCCCACTCTTCCTTAACTGATTTGGTAAACCCCTTGTTCTCATTTACCTGTGCTTCCTCTTGGTTTCTGCAGTGCCTGTAATCTCTACCCTTTTCATAATCATGAGTGTAGTTGCTTTAGCAACTTGCTTCTTCCTGGCTCTTCACTTCAGTGTTCCTCTCCCTGCCATGCTTCTGCCTCACTATCCTCTGTAAGTTGAATGTTATTCTTCATATCCTGGGTTCTCATTGCATCCTTTCCCTTTTAGCATCTTCCTTCTTATGGTTTATCACATTATTTGTTCCAAATAGCGTATTTTGTTTTCTCTATAACTTGTATAGATTTATCATTTTAAATCCCTTCTTAAAAGCTTTTCCCCTCTGTTAAGCACCACTTACCTAGTAAACCTCTATCTATGTTCTGTTTTGCAAACCTGAGGCTTGTTAAAGGATGTGAGGCTCTTGCATCCCAGTGGGACATCTGGTGTATTAGCTATAAGGGGTCATGATGTCAGGCACCCTGGTGGCAGCATGGAAGGCAGCTTTGTTTGCATTTGGGAACACTTCCCTGATAACAGACTTTCATGGAGAGACAGCAAATGCCAGCACAGTTCTACTTCCATGCTCTCTATATACCAGTTAGTAGAAAATTGGGTTTGTTGCTATTTGGACAGCTACAGAAGCTTGATGCTTCAGCCTTTGTTCAGTTTCATTGGATCCTATTATCATCCAAAGGAAAGAAAATGCTTTGGAACATTGCAAGTAAAAGCTCAGTTACAGTGGTGTGCTGTACAGACCAGCTTTCCCTCAGCTTGTGAAACAGCCAAGTGGATTTAAATCATCTTTACATACTTCAGCTTCAACTAGACAGTGCAATCATTTTTCCTAAGAGAATACTGAAAGAAATGTACTCAGTTTGCAATGCCATATTCCTAAAACTTTAAAACTGGCTTTTTGCACGTGTGTGTTACAGCACAGCCTTTAGTAACCTAAAATATGCTGAGTTTTTTGAGGAGTGTGTCTCTTCCACCTACAGAACGGGCTGGGCTTATTAATTCAACACTTTGGTCTCCCTCTGGATTTGGTTTGGGCCATATTCACGCTGCTTTTACTGCTCACTAGTTAAACCAGTTCTAAATATAATATTAATTTAATCATAGCACAACATCTGAGTTTTTCACAGGCACTGTTTTTCACTTACGACTTAGAGAAAAACCAGTAGTGTCAGTCTGATTGCGTAAAAGGTGAGATGGAACACAGAGAAGTTGGGGTAACACCACCACTGCCTATTCATGACACGTTCTCAGCACTAAGATGCATTTTTTGGGTTAATATCACAGTACGCTTTGGCTTTGGCCTCGACTGCAAGTGCTCAGCGTGCCTGAGGGATGGTATGGCACAGTTCTGTGCTGGGCACGTGTTTGGGTTGGAAGAGACCTTAAAGCTCATCCAGCTCCAACCCCCTGCCACGAGCAGGGACACCTTCCACTAGAGCAGGTTGCTCCAAGCCCCTGTGTCCAACCTGGCCTTGAACACTGCCAGGGATGGGGCAGCCACAGCTTCTCTGGGCACCCTGTGCCAGGGTCTCACAGGGAAGAATTTCTTCCTAATGTCTAGTCTCAGTCTCCCCTCTGGCAGGTTAAAGCCATTCCCCTTGTCCTGTCCCTACAGGCCCTTGTCCAGACCATTTTCTGATGCACAGTGTTCCTCTGTTAAAAGAAAATCTAATAATATTAAATAACTAAACCTCAGCATAGCCTAAAGGGCAGGGGAGGAAACACTTGACCCCCCCCAGGGAAGCAGTCACTGCTGTGGTGAGGTGAAGCAGCTCCTGCAATGCAGCAGCAGTTGAAGGACACAAATGTGCCATAGAAGTGGTGTGAAAAGGAGCCTCTGTCATGGGAGGTACCTTCAAATACTTCACCCAGTGAAGTGAGTGTTGCAGTCCTCATTTTATCAGTGGGGTAACTGAGGGTGTGAGGAGCTGAACACCCCCTGTTCAACTGAGCTGCTCCTACTTGTGTGGTGTTGGATGGCTCAGGTGCTGGTAGATGAGCTAGATACAACCAAGAGCTCTGCTTTCTTGGTGGGCAGCAGTGCTCTGCTCTAACATACTTCATTCCCCCTTGTTCTGTAGCTCATCTAGCAGCAGGGGAAGGGCACTTGCATTGCTTCAAGTTCTTGGTCAGCAAAATGCCCACTGTGATGCACACCCTGAAAGCCAGGAATGACCAAGGAGAGACTCCAAGGGACTTGGCTGAAAGGTTCTATAAAGATAACATCCTGCAGTATATTGATGGTGTGGAAAAAGAGGGGCAGCATCCAGAGACACAGGAAGGTGAGTATGGATCAAGGTACTGTTAAAACAGGCACAGAAATTGTTACAGCATTGCTCTTTCCAATGCTTCCTACACTTCCTGATGGCTAAAGACTGGAATACTCAATGGGATTTTATAAATGCCTTAGGTTTACCCACGATCAGAATGAAACTTGTCATACCATGTTGCACTGTAAACACCAAGTTATCCATGTTTTTCTTAAACTCCAGGAGAGATTTTTAAAAAATAACTAGAAAAATCAAAATGTCTATAAATTTCAATAGTTTTTAAAGCAAGGAGAAGTAAAGATGTTCATATTTGATTAGGGTATGGAACTCAAAATAGGCAGGTTACTTACTCGGGTCACCCCCAGTGATACAACATCAACCCTGAACCAAAGGTGTACTTGTTACTTCAGGTTTACCAGATGAATCTCTTAACTGTGTAAGATGCCTGTACCATCACCAAGATGTGTTTAGTCAGGTCTCTGATGAACAGTGCTAGTTATACAGCTGCATTTTAACTGCTTAAGGGTGCATTAACCTTGCTAACTCCAGCTATGAAGTGCCCATGCATATGGTATGAGAGAGACAAAGCCTGAGAGACAAATAGGAACATGTTTAGTGGGATTACAGGCATCTGTTTGGAAACATGTGCATTTCATTTTCAGTTTTAGCTTTCCCAGCTCATGGTGCTGCTTCCAAAGGGGACTTGTTAACACTTAGAAGATTAGTGGGAAGTGGAGTGATCAATATGAATGAGCGGGATGATGAGGGATCCACTCTCATGCACAAAGGTCAGTGACTGTGATCTGTGTTTCAGCTTGTTGCTGTTTGTTGTTGTGCAGGGGGAAGGTTTTCAAGCAGCTGCTCCTCAGATAAACTCCACGAAAACAGCATCTCATTTCCTGAGGGCTCGAAAGGGCAACCCCAAAACCAGATTTTGTGATGCATGTGTGTGTAGGTGTCACTTTAAAAACAACATAACCAAGCTGAAGTCAAGAGAGGAGAGTTTATGTTAAAGAGAAAACAACAGCTAAGAAGAGAACTAAATAAGTTCTTTTTAATCAGGAGAGATGTGACTTCTAGAAACATTGGCCAGCTGGGTATGAGAATGGTCTGGGCCTGGGCCTTTATTTACTGAACGTATCAGTACTGTGGAAACCACAATAAAGTGGAGCTGGGAAGGAAGGTATCTACCACCTTGCTTGGTGGTGGAGTGCTAGCACTGCAGAAAAATGGTCCTCTTGTGGGGGGGAGATTCATAGTAATGTCTGAAAGAAGATAGAGAATCATAGAATCCCAGACTGGTTTGGGTTGGAAAGGGCCTTAAGATCATCCAGCTCCAACCCCCTGCCACGGGCAGGGACACCTCACACTAGAGCAGGTTGCTCCAAGCCCCTGTGTCCAACCTGGCCTTGAACACTGCCAGGGATGGGGCAGCCACAGCTTCTCTGGGCACCCTGTGCCAGCGCCTCAGCACCCTCACAGGGAAGAGCCTCTACCTAACGTCTAACCTGCACTTCGCCTGTTTCAGTTTAAACCCATCACCCCTTGTCCTATCACTACAGTCCCTGACGGAGAGTCTCCCTGCAGCATCCTTGTAGCCCCCTTCAGACTCTGGAAGCTGCTCTGAGGTTTCCACACAGCTCTTCTCCAGAGAGAATAGGAGAAATAGGAGAGGAAAGAAAGAGGGAGGTGTTTCTGTACTATGCTTTTAACACTATTTCTTTTTGTGTAGATCTAAATGGTAGAAATTTGGAAAAAAGAATTGCAGTTCTCATTTAAAAGAAACATGGATATGTAGTGATTTAAAAACATGTTTTCTACATTCTTTCCAACCCTCTGTTCTTGGAGCAATGCAAACCAATTGTTTCATCCCCAGTCTTTACATGCAGTGTTGGTGTTATGGGGAAGTACTATGGTTGATATTGTAATTTCATTTCCTTTCTCAGGAAGAAAACAAACATAGCAAGGGTGTGTTGTCAAGAAATGGATTTATTCTTCCTTGGAAAGAATAAGCTTGAGGAAGCATGTTCCAGGTTCCAGCTAGACATGCCAAAAGCTTTCTTCTCTATGTGAGACACCCTTCCTGGCACCACGTGCTGTGAGCAGCAGTCATGCCAGGTCATAGGAACAGGCCAAGCTGTTGTGTTAGGCTGAAGCTGAGAAGTTTTGTCTTGAGTGTCTGGCCCAAGAAATGATGTCCTTATAGCTGCAGCACAAAGCCTTGGCCTCTCTCTAAGACAGCACCACAGGCCAGAGGCTGGGGCAACCAGTCTTTCTATCCCAGATAGGTGGGGACCTGAAGCTGGAGAGAGGGGACAGTGCTTTGCTGCAGGTCTATGACAGAAAGGCCTTACTGCAAGGGAGTGTGAGGTAGCAGTTCCTTCTGTGTCTCATGCTCAGTCTCATGCGTGAGATGAGGCAAGTTTAGTTTGACTTGTGCCCAGGGGGAGCTGCCAGTAAATTTCTAGAACTAGAAAGAGTCACAGAAGCACATTACATGGGCTTCCCCAGTGGTTCTGTGTGGCTTGAGCATCTTGACATAGATGCTTCTCTTGCAATAGTATCATCTCCACTGTGGTGTCCTACTGAATCCAGCCTCTGGCATGTCAAATAATGACAGGAGGAGAACATTTTAGGTTTGAAACACTTCAGTTGTATGTAACTGACTTGTTGCACCTTCCTTCCCTTAGCTGCTGGACAGGGGCAGATCCAGTGCCTACAGTGGCTGATTGAAATGGGAGCTGATGGTGACATTACAAATGATGCTGGAGAGAATCCAAAGGATGTAGCCAAGAGGTAGCATTCCATATCCTGTACCTCTGCCACTTATTTCCTTACTATTTATATATCAATATCAAGTCAACTTTCTTGGGATTAATCCTGATTTTCAATGATGGAGCAAGAACAGACCAGGCCCATGTATTCCAGCTCTGAGTGACAAGCAAAGCTGTATTGTAGCTGTACAAGGGTTTAATTTTCACTTTATTTATATAATTAGTTATTTTAGCAAGCTCAGACATGAAAGAAGGAAACTAGCTGACCTGCAGAAGGTTGTGAGCCAGGAAGTTCACAGTTTGCTGTACAAAGCAAATGAGAAGCAGCTCAGGCCACCTGAGTTCTGCATGAATAAAAAGAATGCAGTTTCTGATGGGATTCAATTACATGATCCTGCAAAGGCAGAGATACCTCTGATGTAGGAGTCATTGTTCTAAGATTCCATTGAGGCAGAGCTCATGCCCTCAGAATACTACAAAAAGCAGATGAGCTGCTCATACCTTGTGCTTCCTTTAATCCTGCCCCCCTCTCTGATAAATGGGAACATGAGGAGTTAGTTTCAGGGAGTTTCACATGCGTTTTTGCAGGCTATGGGGATATCTCAGTGTAGGTTCACTGTTCTCTCTGCAGATTTGCCCAGGTAGCAGCTGTGGAACTTCTGACACAAAGAGCTGGGGACAGTAACTCAAGTGATGAAGAACTAGATGCAAACAACATAAAGTTTTTTGAAAGCCATGGCGTGGAAGGGAGCACAGATAGCAAAGCAGACGTAACCCTGCATAAAGCAGAGAAGAGGGATGCGCGCAGTAAGTACTGTTTCCATCACTCCTTGTTTGAAACGGGTGGTGGTGAGGCATTATAGTCCTAGTTGCACAGTTTCTGTCAGCTGCTGTGGCTTTTCTCTTGTGGGAAGAGACAGCTGACAGGATATCTGTACCACTGAGAGGTCAAACCGCCTGTGGAAGATCAGAGAGCACAGCGGAGGCAATCAGAACATAACTGGCCCACCGCTTCAATCCGTGGTGGTGAAACCATGTTGGGTGGCTGCTTGGTTTTGAGACCTGTTTGCTGTGGGGGTGTCAGGTGTCGCTCAGTGTTTGCTGAGCAGTGTGATTTCTGCTCTGTGTTCATTCATGCTGGAATCCTATTGTTTTCCACATGATAGGATTCCAGCATGACTGTCTTCTCCATGCATTTTACCTACCTGGAGAACTCTTGTCTTACAGTGAGGGCCTATCACAAGATTCAAGAACTTCAGAGACTTCTAGAAATTGCCTACAGCAACTACAGGCAGCTGGGAGGAATAACTGAAGAGGAGAAGAAGGTGAAGAAAGAAGAAAGGGAAGCTGAGAAGTAAGGTTACTCTGCCCTGCTAAGGTTTAACTCTGTGAAGCTCCTTTTAAAGCTTTCTTTGAGGCTTACACTCAGATTACTTTGGCCACTCCATCATTTCCACTCCAAAAGGCCCAAAAGAAATGAACTGCAGCAATTTGTCTGACTATTTCTAAACTCCTATCACCAGAATCAGCCCCACAGCACAACAGAGGTGTTGGATCGGCCCACACCTTTGGTGCAAAACCGTCTGTTCAGACTCTCCTGCAGCATATGTGTAGTAGGTCTGATAAGTCCTGGCTGTTTTGTTCACACTGAGGATGCCAAATACATGGATGCACTTAAATAAATCTGGAAGAAGGCATTAGTCATAGCATGGCTTGGATGGAAGTGCACATCCAGCAGAAATTATTCAATGACCTGCTACATTTCCATGTCAGGGGCAGTATATTTCTGCACTCAAGAAAGCATTAGCTCATATCCAGAGCACAGAAAATAGAAATCTCAGCAAACCTGCTCTTGCACGTGAAGCACTTTTCCCAGGGTCTCCCATTAAATAAAAGCATCCTGTCAGAGTAAGGTTCAAAGAAAAGCCCTTCTGTCTACCAAAGATTTAGTGCTTGAACAATAATGCAGCATCCAAAAGACAACCCTGTGTCCACCCCTACCTGTCAAAGATGACTTGGTATGTCTGCAATGTGGATATCTGCATCTGAGTTAGTTACCTTGAGCTCCTTTTTAGACTTCTTGAGGAGAAGTAGGCACTTCCAGGCACAATTTGGCATGTACTTCAGGATGGGATCCTTCATCTTCTTTGAGGTTTGTCTCCTGGCTTTAAGGAGGTTGACCAGCTGAGATGCTGATGCTGAGTTGGAAGGCCAGAACAATCTGTCTGCAGGGATGGAAAGGTCACTGTTGACTAATGGCGGTAGATAGAGTTCATTTGCAAAGAGCAGCTACTCAAAAGCTATCAGTGCCTGTCAGAGGGCTCTGATAAGGCTTTTTAAGGGGTTTTGCTTTCTGTGGCATGTGTGGCTAAACTAGGAAAATGGTGAGGCCCCTCTCATGGGTGTCTCTGACCTGAGGAGGCTAAAAACATCCCTAGCTCCACACTGGTCTTTTGAAATGGAAATAGCACTTCTCAGTGTACTCACCCTCTCCTTCTCAGGGCACCCCCCTGTGGGTAAACCCCAAGGGGCTTGTGTTGTATGCCAGAACACCTCGGTACTTCAAATTATTTAGTGACAACACCATTTTGCTGGATGAAAAGCAGGAGTTGCCACGTGGGAAGGCCACTGTAGCATGTCTAAATGCTCCATCCCTGGCAGTGTTCAAGGCCAGGCTGGACAGAGCCTTGGGCAAAATGGAGCTGTCCCTGCCCATGGCAGAGGTTGGAACTAGATGGTCTTAAGGTCTTTTCCAACCCGAACCATCGTGTGATTCTATGAATCCACAGGGCAGACATCTCCCTTTTCCCTTTACCAAGCTTCTGTGTCCATAGTGTGCTGGTTCATCCTGCTACAGAGGAGAGCAGCTCAACTCCAGATGACTCAGTCGCTGAGGTCAGTTGCTGATGTAGTAAGAATATGTGTGAATTATGTCTCAGCAAAACACTTCCAGGAATCTCAGTTAATTTAGGAGCCGTGGTGGGTGTGACTGATGAGATCTTGTGTGACTGTTTATCAGCCAGTGCTTCAGTTTCCCTTTAGTCACTGTCATAGAATCACAGATTGGTTCGAGTTGGAAGAGACCTTAAAGCTCATCCAGTCCCAACCCCCTGCCACGGGCAGGGACACCTTCCACTAGAGCAGGTTGCTCCAAGCCCCTGTGTCCAACCTGGCCTTGAACACTGCCAGGGATGGGGCAGCCACAGCTCCTCTGGGCACCCTGTGCCAGCGCCTCAGCACCCTCACAGGGAAGAGCTTCTGCCCAAGAGCTCATCTCAGTCTCCCCTCTGGCAGGTTTAAGCCATTCCCCTTGTCCTGTCCCTACAGGCCCTTGTCCAAAGCCCCTCTCCAGGTTTCCTGGAGCCCCTTTAGGCACTGGAGCTGCTCTAAGGTCTCCCTTCAGGAGCCTTCTCCTCTCCAGCTGACCCAGCCCAGCTCTCTCAGCCTGGCTCCAGAGCAGAGCTGCTCCAACCCTCGCAGCATCTTCATTTCCAGCACCAGCAGCATCTTCATAACCTCCTCTGGACTCACTCCAACAGCTCCACATCCCTCTTGTGCTCTTGCCCCAGAGCAGAAAGCACTCCTCTGTCTGAGCTGTCACTTGAGTATTCCTTACCTGTGGCTAAGCCAATCAATAGGAAGGCTTTAGAGGCACGAGGCAGAAACGAAAAAGCTGCCCCTGCCCCTCCCACAATCCCAGTTTTATGCATTTTTTGCTGTTTCGCACTAGCCTTTGTGTTCCTTGGGCACTTCTGCCCCGTCCACAGCGGGAGAGGGACCGCGGTTAGAGCCTGCCCAAGGCCCTGGTGACAGGCTCGGTGTGTGGGAAGACATCTCCACCTCGTGGTCGCACTGCGCTGAGCACGGCTGGCAGCGAGGGAGGAAAACCAGATCTTCAGAGCCGCCACCAAGCGTCTTTAGCACAGCCGCTGCGAGGAGCAATGCTCTTTGCTGTGACTAACCCCTTAGCAAAGGCACAGGACCCCATGGAGTACCCAGGGCAGGACTGGTTGTGCTTCACGCTCTACTTGTTGCCTTTGCTTTCGGCAGGGCTGTGATGGAGCTGGAGGCCCAGCTGGAATATGAGCGAGTGAGGCGGGAGAAGCTGGAGAGCCAGCTGGATGAGTGCCGTGCCGAGATAAACCACCTGAGACAGAGCCTGGAGGAACTCCACAGCTCCCCTCCTGCCCCCATGGTGAGTGAGACACGAACATCCCAGTGTGGGGACAGAGGCTGCTGCCCGTTCCTTTGTTCTCCCTGAGATTCCCAGGCACTGTGCTAGGAAATCACAGGATGGTTTGGGTTGGAAGGGACCTTAAAGCTCACCCCGTTCCAACCCCTGCCACGGGCAGGGATACCTTCCACTAGACCAGGTTGCTCCAAGCCCCTGTGTCCAACCTGGCCTTGAACACTGCCAGGGATGGGGCAGCCACAGCTTCTCTGGGCACCCTGTGCCAGCGCCTCAGCACCCTCACAGGGAAGAGCTTCTGCCTAAGAGCTCATCTCAGTCTCCCCTCTGGCAGGTTAAAGCCATTCCCCTTGTCCTGTCCCTACATCCCCTTGTAAAAAGTCCCTCTCCAGATTGCTGGCCCCTTCCTGTAGCCCCTTTAGGCACTGGAGCTCCTCTAAGGTCTCCCCTGCAGGAGCCTTCTCTTCTCCAGCTGACCCAGCCCAGCTCTCTCAGCCTGGCTCCAGAGCAGAGCTGCTCCAGCCCTCGTAGCATCTCTGTGGCCTCCTCTGGCCTTGCTCCAGAGTGAGTATTCCAAATACTGGGCTAAACGTGTGAGCAGTTTTAGCTGGAAGACAGGAGTGAGCAGTAGCCTTTTTCATGTCCCTGCTGTGAAAGGGCATCAGTTTCTCTTTGTACCCTGGCGCCAATATTCTTCATCTTCCTGTTAAGAGAGAGGGCAGTGATCCACAAGTACTTCTACGCTGCATATGCAGTGACTGACAGTTCATTTTGGCTGGTATCTGAGCCTGGACTGGTGCTCTGGGAGGGGGGTGTCACCACCTAAAGGGTTACTCAGTTACTTCCAGCCCAAACCATTCTATGATTGCAGTTTAATGGCTGCAGTGTCCTTTGTTTCAGGAAGCTGAGACCATCTCCAAGCCTTGCAAAGAGAAAAAGAAAGTAAAGAAGAAACCAGCCTCCAGCCCTGGGGGAGTGTTTGTGAGACTACGCTGAGGGGTGAACCTCCGAGGAGGGGCAGCTTGAGGAGGGAGAATTCCAGACAACACAGAGCATCTCCATAGCCCAGCTCCACAGAGTTGTGGTTCCCTGCATTTAATCATGGAATCCCAGACTGGTTTGGGTTGAAGGGACCTTAAAGCTCATCCAGCTCCAACCCCCTGCCACAGGCAGGGACACTTTCCACTAGAGCAGGTTGCTCCAAGCCCCTGTGTCCAACCTGGCCTTGAACACTGCCAGGGATGGGGCAGCCACAGCTTCTCTGGGCACCCTGTGCCAGCGCCTCAGCACCCTCACAGGGAAGAGTTTGTTCCCTAATGTCTAAACTCAATCTCCCCTCTGTCAGTTTAAAGCAGTTCCTCCTTGTCCTGTCCCTACAGGCCCTTGTAAAAAGTCCCTCTCCAGCTTTCTGCTCTGAGGTCTCCCCAGAGCCTTCTCTGAACTGCTTTTTAGTTCTCTGGGCTAGAAAATATTCTTTAATCACAGCAGCAGCACTTTATTAAAACAAAGGCATCAAGACTCCTCTTCCTGCCCAGATAACAGTTCAGCAACGAAACTGCAAATTTTAAGATGATGTTTCAAGAGTGAGTTACCTGCAGCAGTGTCACAGCCCTCCCAGGAATAAGATGGGTCTTCCTCTTGTCTGGTCTATCCTGCACTGCTGTGGGAGAGGGAGGAAAAACCCAACACCTAACAAATAAACAGAGAGGACCTTCCATGTGGATCCAAACACCACCTCTGGGAGAAGTGCTTCTTGGCTGCACACATGTGCCAAGCCCCTTGGTTTCCATCTCTAAGTCATTCCTAAGGAAGTCAGGCAGCAGCTCCTTCAGAGCTGCAGCAGTGGGCCTCCAGTCTCAGCTCAGGGTTGGAGTTCCCCAGGGCTCATTGTGGTCAGTAACAGCAGCGCTGACCTCTCTCTCCTCCATGCCTAAAACCAGTTCATGACTTCACATGCAAAGATTTTTCTCTCCTCTGTGTGCTATTGTGGAATTCTTTTCCCTTTGGAACCCTCATTGTGCATGTTTTTTTTCAGTTTTGATTTCCATATGGAATCCACACACTCGAAGGTTGTTTTAGTGCTTGAATCCTGCTCTGTCCTATCCTCAGTTCCCAAAGGAAACTTCATCTCTGAGAATTTCAAAGGTACTGAAAAGAAATCAGTGGTTTTGTGTGCAGAGCCTGAGGGAGAGGCACACTGACTGACAGCATGGGCCTTGCTCCTGAGAGGAGAAATTCACTCTAGAGCCCACTTCAGCGTGAGGGATGAGGGTGGGGAGAAGCTGCAGCAGATGAGCTGTTTCCTACATGACTGTTGGGGCTAAACTCTCATGTAGGAACAGTGCAACAGATCAACCCGAGTCATTCTGTGTCCAAAGGGCACCGGAGCTGGTGAAGGGTCTGGAGCACAAGTGTGATGAGGAATGGCTGAGGGACTTAGGGGGGTTTAGTCTGGAGAAGGCTCAGGGGGGACCTTATCGCTCTCTACAACTACCTGAAAGGAGGATGGAGAGAGGTGGGGTCAGTCTCTTCTCCCAAGTAACAAGTGATGAGAGGAAATGGCCTCATCCTGCACCAGGGGAGGTTCAGACTGGGTTGTCAAGCACTGAACAGAATGCCCAGGGCAGTGCTGGAGTCACCCTGGAGGCACTGAAAAGACATGTAGCTGTGGTGCTTGGGGACATGGTTTAGTGGTGGGCTTGGCAGTGCTGGGGTTACAGTTGAACTTGATCTTAAAGGCCTTTTCCAACCAAAATGATTCTGTGATCCAGAGAACCTCAGAACTGGTCACAGCTTACAAGAAGATGGATTTGTACATGCCCAGAGCCTTGCTGCCAGACCCATTTGCCTACTTAGCAAACACAGAGACAACAGAAAGAACACAACTCCCTTCAACTCCCAGCACTGTGCCTGTTGTAAAAGCCCCATTTTTACAGCCTGCTTACCTGTATTCATGTGTCTCAGCCAGTCAGGTAGCAAATATAAGAAATTGGGTTTATTTCCTTAACTGAAGATGATAAATAACTTAATGCACAGCACAGAAGCCTTGGCAGGGTACCAATGAGTTCAGCTGCAACCAGACTAATACTGCAGTAAAAATGAACTGCCACTCATCAGCACTACACACTCTGTAATCCATAAAGAACCTACTCTTAAAGTGCAACGCAGGAAGGTTGGGGTTTAAATCCTATTTTATTAGCAGCCCCAAACCAAGCCCATGCTTTTGCACTCCAGATGCCACAGAAGGCAGCCCCAGCTCTGCAGCGAGAGGTGTGAAGTCCTCGTAGGAGGCAGAGGGATCATCACCAGGAGGGAGGAGAGGCAGCACGTCCCACAGGATCACACGACAGTCCGGAGGAGTGTGGAGATGGGAGGAGGACACCACTGGGATGCTGAGTATTTCCATGTTACAAGCCAGATCCTATGCCCAGAAGATACACCAGGGTTTACTGGAAATACTCTGTGCTACCTGAAGGGAGGAGTTAAGAGCACTTAATCTGCCCCAGGGCTGCTGCAAGCAGAGGGGTTTCCCCTTGGAAAGACACAGACAGAGAAGTTCTTCCATTCTATTGACCTCTGCGGTTATGGAAATTGCAAGAGATACTAAAGAAACCCCAAATCTATGGAGACAGCTTAGTTCTACATGAGATTTGAAATATATGTAAACCAGTTCTCAAGAAGAAAAACAAGGATTCTCTAGTAAAAGCCTTTGCAGTGTGGGTTTTCATATAT